GGGACACACAAACCCCTCCACCACGATAAGGTAGCGATTCAATTTACCTGCTCTTTACTCTTTAATTAAGTTTGCTGTTTAAGCTGTTTGGCAAATGTTAAAATAGTTTTTTGAGATTTGTGCAGTTGTGGGTTTGTGCTGCACAAAGCACTGCTTTAGCCACTCCTGTGTTTGTGATCCTGGGTGTGTCTTTTTTGACTGCATGCATAGATGGGACTACAAATGGAAGTGCAGCTAGAAACTAAGCAAGAAATTGAAACTTAAGTATTCTCTTGTTAGAGAGTTGAAATGCTTGACAAGAAGTGTTTTCATTCAATTTGTTTCGTGGTTTTATACATTTATTAGTATGTTGTAATATTTTTTTTCACACTGTGAAATTTTAAAAATTATTTATTTTATACAATTTTTTCATCATTTAAATTTCCAAACTGCCTTTTCTCCAGTAACAGATTGCACACTGCCCATGAGAGGACCACTTAGTACGCAGAAGTTTCAATTCAGTTTTATCTATACATTACCAAATTACAACAACAGTCATCCAGAAGAGAGACTGTTGGTCACAAAAATGGTGGACAGAAAGTTATTTTCCAGTCTGTGAGATGTCGGCTTTCAGCACCCAACGGCATGTCCGCGTACTTGCCGTTGGGTGAACGGGATGGTCCGCGCTTTTTGTTGACATCTTTTTGCGGAATCCGTTTACCTACTCTTTAATCTTTCATTAAGTTTGCTGTTTTCGCTGTTTTCTGACCTTTAACCAGAGATTCTAGCAAAATACATTTATATTTAAAAGATTTAATGAATCGCGATCGCATTATTAAAACTAAAATCATTTTGAATCAGGAAATAATTTTTTAACCCACCGATAGTGAATACGCATATATGCTGACATTACAGATGTACTTACCTAATCTGAAAAGCAGAGTTTAACACCCCGCTTCCTGGACCAAATGCAGCTGTGGGTTTGTGCTGCAGAAACAACTGCTTTGGCTACTCTCGTTTTTGTGATCCTGGGCGTGTCTATTTTGACTGTAGACATAGATGAGATTAGGCACTACTAAAAAACGAAACTGCAGTAATAGAAACTAAGCAAGAAATTGAAACTTAGGTATCCTCTTGTCAGAGATTTGAAATGCCTCACAAAAAGTGTTTTTTAATTCAATTTGTTTCGTGGTTTTACACTGCATGATCGTTTAATGGGTCCTTTGTGCCGACCTTTTCAGTGATCATCTCTGCATCGCCTACCAGTTAAACAGTCACATGATTTATAACTGAGGAAGTAATAAAGGAAGTAATAAAGGTTAATGGCATTTTATGAACATCATAAATTCTGATATATCATAATTCGGTAATAATCAATAATCATATGCCCCCAAAAATAGGATCATAAATATATGGTGATTGAGTAGGAAGATGAAATGATGTTTGAGATTAAAATGATGGAGTAATAAGTCATAATGGTGTGCTGTTGTCATTTGACGCCAAAAAGTTTACTTTTTTTGACCAAAAATGCCACCTTTTTAGACAATTGTTTTTGTGGAACTGTGTGTGTGAAAATGTGTTATACCATAATAAAAATAGCCTGTTTCAGTTTTACTGCTGTTTTCAATAAATTGCATGTTCACTTCCATTTCTTCTCGTTGCATGTTGAAGGTCTACTTGGAACCTTGTTAAGATCCAACGATGCAAAATATGGTTTGTTTGTTTGTTTGTTTGTTTTTTGTTTTACCATTTTTCAAGTGGTCTTAAACTGATTGGGGCTGTAATAAAGAGCTGTTTGTTCAATGGTGATGATCATCATGAGTTTGCAACTACATGATAAGCACATCATGGAGCCACCAAAAAGGCAAAAAAACATCAGCAGTTTGGGAGCATTTTGACATATCTCACAAAAATAACATACGCCTCCTCAAATCAATCTCAGAGAGGATGGTTAGTTAAAGGTGTATGTGTGTATTTTACACAGGGCCCCTATTATCACAGCAGGGCTGCTGGTGTACATGGAATGACCAGCAGATAATTCATGAGACATGAAGGCCTGTTACCACCATGAGGTAGCTGATGAACAGGTGATGAACGGAAGGCTGAGTTGGTGTTAAATGTCATCCTGCTGATTGCAGTTGATGGGTTACAGGTGGAAGATGCAGATGTGGAACCTTCACGGATGGACACAGGAAAACAGGGACTAAGCTGAAAAACACCAGACACTCATTCGGATCATAACACCTTTAAATCTTCACCATGCCAGGTAAGAGAGGGAGAAAAGGCTCTGAAAATCATTAAATCATAAAGTGCCCAGACTAGCAAGCAAACACCATTTCAGTGTAATATGCTGACAACTTATTCAGCTCCTGGTGATGATGATCACTGAAAATCTTTTACTACTTTTTACAACTTATACCTAAAACTAGTATATCCCAGTAGTTCTAGGTATAAGTGGTTGTACTTTGTTTTTCTTTTTTGTTTCTTTTGTTGTTTTTCTTCTTTGTTTTTCTATACTGTTTTGTAAAAATATACAGATTTATCTTGTTTTCACAAGGAGCTTCATAACTGAAGATTTCAGTGATGCAGGGAAAATACCAGGAACTCTGGTTAATACCATCCATTATGGGTTGGAATTGCATTTTAAAATTTTGTTTTCTTCAATTGAAATCAAAAGTTACTTTTTTAATATTAGAGTTTACTTTTAATTAAGAGGTTGTTAAGAGAGGCCTTTTATTGAGAAAAGTTGTTTTCGCAAACAGCTTTAACTTTATGACATAAAGAGAGAAAATCACACTAATAACTTGTATCTGTAACTTGATTTGTTGACTGAAGCCTCCTGTCAGCTTCAGATAAATAACAAGGAAGGATCGCTCAACACTCAGTTTACAGAGGATTAATTAAACAAAATGTTACATCCCCCAGGAGGATGCTGGTTTTCTTCTTTCAACTAACTCCTTATGTTTTGTCTAGGCTCCACCTCCTCTGTCCTGATTGGATGCTGCTCACAGAATCCAGCTATTTGTCAATCAGCAAAGCACTACTAAAGGCTTGTGGAGCTGTGTTTCTGGGCCCTCTGGCCATTTTGATTGCCATACCCGTGCAGGCTTGCATGCCTCTTGACTTGTATGTGCCTTTTGTGTTTTCATGTTCACACTGCCTGTCGGGGAGAGCTGCCTTTTGTTTTGACACCCTGCTTTCTCCTGTTTATGTGTTGTTAGGTAGGTTATGGTTATAGGTTGTATATTTTGTTTTCTTTGGAGTTAGGTAAGTTTCTTTTATTTTCATATCAGGAATGTTTTGTTTGTTATGTTGGCCTTGGCTCTCCCTGAAGTTAACCCTCAGTCTGAACCAGAATTTCAATGCTAGCATGAGATAAACCTTTTAAAATTACCATCTTGGCTCCTACTTCACTATTTACCTCTGTTAGTCCCTTCAAACCCCCCAGACTAGTCTGGGGACATAACATAAAGAAAATGAAATAATTCTTTAACAAAGAAGTGAGGCATATTTTACAGCGATTAGCAAACTGCAACAACTACATGTCAATGTTTTTTTTGTTCATCTTTTTGTCTTTTCCCCACTTATCCATTAAACCTCTGTTAACCCTGAATTTTATTTATTTATGTTGTCAGGTGTGGCTCTGGTTTCATGATACTCACCTCTCCATGTGTCAGAAAGTTAAACTAATGACTTTAAATTGACTTTAATTGTGTAAAACTGTAATAGTGCAGACTTACAGATAATTTTTCATGTGGATGAGTGTGCTTGTAATTTAAGAGAAGGCGGACTAAGTGCAGTGTAATTCACTCCATATTAAACCCACTTCATTGTGTCTTTAAATGTAGAATAAATGCTGCATTAGAGACGAGGGTAAAATCATGGGAGTGAAAATAAGAAAAAATGAATCCACCAGAAAATGAGAGAACCTGTGTAAGTCTGCTGCTGCTGTTTGTGTGAGGACAGCCGTAACTCCCTTTAAGTTTTGCTTTTCTTGTAAATGAAACCAGAGCAAACACCTCTGCTAGTTGATAAGATGAAGATGAAGGTTGATAATCCAGATATTTGAATGAGTTTATTAAAGCGCAATTGTTCATCTTTTTATGAGCAGGTTTAGGTCCAAAGTTTGAACATGGGCGTGTCTGCCTGCAGGGTGAGAGATGAAGTTGTCTCTCATGTAGTAGCTGATGAATGAATTTCAAAGAGTAAACACATGTTTTTAATGGCAGTGTTTCCTCGTATGATTTGTTTGGTAATTCAGGTTTTCATTGTTTAAAGGTGTTCTATAGTTACCATCATCATATAAAAACTTTGAGATCATTCATATGTAGAAAGATGTGATTGTGTTAGAACTCAAACTTTTAGTTTCATTATGTGAAACTAATTCAAATGTAACTTCTGTTTAGATTTGAATGTTTGTACTAAAAACATGAGGCTACACATATTTACCCAGGATGTTTTAAAGCTTGTGGAGCTGCTTCCACTGCTGCAACCCACCAGGAGGAGGTGCTGTCACAGAGAGAATCACAGAAATGGCAACGATACAGCATCACTATCATCGCTGTTTATTTCATTTTTCTGTACTTGTTTTTCTAGAAACCTCGGCATGCTGTGTAGCTAAAGATCCCTTTTTTAATGTCATCATTTAACAAACTAAGATGTTTAAGATAAGATAAGACTTTACTGATCCCACAATGGGGAAATGTTTGCGTTACCTTAGCTCAGGTACAGATCAGAAGGAAAATACAAAAAATACAAGTAAAATACAAACAAATAAAAAATAAGTAAGATAATACACTATATACAACAGTAGCATACACAGTATGTGATTATGGATATGGTTGTGAAAATATGCAAGACATAAACTATATAGCTTAACATAATGGCAGAACCTTACACACTCACCATCTTTTTGGTTAAATATTAGTCATACACTACACTTTCCCTGTGAATGAAATATAAAATAACCTGTGATGCACTTACTGTAATGCCCACAATGAATCAATGCTTCTTCAATCATCACGTTTTAAAATGTATAAAACAAAATCTATAAAAAATGTATAAGACAAAGGGAAAACAATGCAAATGTTGGCATAGATGTATTTAAATGAATGTCTACATTAGACCAATGAGTCAGAAGTCAATACTTTAGCAGTGAGAGATGCCACAGAGCTTTATTAAAAGCATGCAGAAATACAGCACGTGAAAATGGGATATTAACTTTATTTTTATTAAGGACTAAAACAGTTCTCTCTTTTGTTATATTAATTTGTCTTTAATACTGTAGCGTGACACCATAAGGGAGGATGAGTTTGTTTTCCAGGTATTTGCTGTTTGATTATCTTCTAAGAAAAAATCTTCAAAGGGTCCAGAGTCAGGGTATCACAAAGCACAGCAACTGAAACTGTCAAAAAAATGTTACAGGATTAAACCTCATCTAACTCTAAGCTATAGAACATTTCTCATGAAACATTTCCAAGCTGTAAAGTTTTACAGTCACTGTAGATCAGAAGTGTGAAACATAAAGCCCAGCGAGGACTCCGCCACAGCCCCCTGGATGGGTTCGGCTATGTGGAGAAGGACAGGAATTTTTGCCTTTTAAACATGTTTTAATAAGATTTGGAGCTTATCTGTTATTTAATTATCTGCTATAGAAATTCACCTTTTTCCCTGAGAAATTTGATTCTGTTTATTTGTTATTAATGTCATGATGCGTGCTGTGTGGCAGGCAGGAGATTAGACCCAAATGCAAAAGGAATCAGAACCTAAACCATGATACAGAATACTACAAAAACACAAGAAACAGAAATGCTGGGTCAAAATGGCCCAGAGCTGTCACAATTAAATGCTAACAAAATGTTTGTTTGTTTGTACGCTGTTGCAATAATATCGTATCGTGAGTGACGTATTGTGATGTCGCAATGTGTGTGGTGTCTGGTGATTCCCACATCTACTTACCAGAATATCTTCTAGTAAAGTAGGTTAGAAAGGAAGCTTTGAAGCATGCCTAATACCTGCCGGCCTGACAGCAAGACGTGTGTGTATAGATTACACACAAATTGTTCGAAAGTATTTATCAGACCAAGTAGAGAAAAAAAAATGTAATTTGCATGTCTACAATTGAATACCTGCAAAAACATTTGTAGACTTTAACAAGTTGTTGAACCTAAATGAAAGTAAGAATGAGCCAGCAAAAGTGCTATTAGTTAAATTAATGATTCCTTCAACAAGAAAATCTAACACAGGATGTGTCAAAGGATGTTTGTTACTCTAAAACTTGAGTTGTCTGGGATACATGTGGGTAGAAAGAAGACAAGAAAGCAGCAATGTGGATTGAAAATAGAAAATGCACACGAAAAACAGACAGAAAAAGGAGTCAATTTTGTTACAGAGCTGTAATAAATGAAAAGCTAAAGAGGAGAAAACAAGTTCACAGAATCCTAAAGAGAAGCCATTGTTGACTGTGGATGTTTGGATGAAAGTGATGCTCAATGTCTGCAGGAGTCTAGCAGATGTTACAACTTTCATTTACTGCTGTTCCTGTGACACAAAACGACTGAAGATAACAAGCACATTTCTCTAAAACACATGAGATGAGGCTCCATGTGATGTAAAGGCACAGAGGAAATGGGGGGTCATCACCTCAACAGTAAACACACAGGACTGCACTCAGATTTGGATGCTTTTGTCATTTCATTGATGGAAAGTTAGACTCCACCACCTGATTGTCTGTACCTCAATTCGGGCTATTTTAAAATCCAGAGGAGGTGCAACATTGTAGTTCTAACTGTATGTTTTAGTTCATGCAGCTAATAAATAAAAAACCTTTGTGTCAAAGTAAAAAAGATGAATAAACATCTCCCAAGTGTGTTTAGGCCATGAAATCTTTGCTGGAAAGAAGATCAGGGATCCACACAAAGTGGGGTTTATGCACTTGTTCTGAAAACACTTCCCCGTCCTAACATTAAACACTGCTTGTAGCAGGTATCACAACCACAACAGGGACCTGTTTTTTCAGGTGTTGATTTGGTGTGATTTGCAGTAAATTGTGTGTCACAGACATTGTAAATACATTTGTGCGACTCAGTGAAATATTCTAATCCCAAAGGTGAAACTTTTACAAACACATATGCCACAATACATTAATTTATTGAACTTGCAAACTTTTCATTTACATCACACAGTGTCTTGCTGTTTGGTGTTATCTGATGTTTTGATGAATGCAGTTTTAATTGTATAATGTGGGACCGGCATCTAAGTCTTTCAGGTTTTCAGTCCAAGCAAGGAAACACCATTTCAATATAATATTCTGACGTCTTCTTCAGCTCCTGTTAAAGATGTGTTGGTCACTGACAGTTTTTACTCTAGTCTTGCATCCTAAAAATAAATTTAACACCTGTGCAGGAGTGAAACCCTGAAGACTCTGAGCCCTTCATGGTCCAATGTTTGAAGTTTGTATTTATGTGAAAATAATTTCAACTGTTTCTACAGGTAGATTTTAAAGGTTTACAAATATAGCACAGCAGGTGAAGTTAAACACATCGAGACAAAGTGTACAATGGAATAACTGTCAATCAACTGGTTGTACCAAAGTGTTGTAGCTGCCTGATTCTCAGGACATGGAGTCAACATAATAACCCAGTAATTCTTGTCTTCTGGTGGTAATTTGTTTTTCTTTTTATCACACAATGTGAGATCAAACTAACTGAGTTTATTTCCTATACAATGAATAAACCCTTTTACAGTAAAGTTGTGAAATATGAGATGATGTGGTGTTAATTTAAAAATTACATGATTATTAAAATAGAAATAGACAAAGCTGGAAAAAAAACTGAGGCAATTTGTTTGAGCAGTGGGCAACAGAGCAACTAATCGTCATATCACCGTCTTTGTTTCACATCAAGGCACCACCAGGTGACAAGCTCTACTTCAAAAAGAGCATGGCAAGAGTCAAACAAGAAATAAATCCATAAACTAGCTGACTCAGTTACAGCTTTAAATCAGGGTATCGTCATAGTTATGTTAAGCCCCCTCTATTAAAGGAAACATAGGCAGATTAAACAAAATTTGCCCAATAAAAAGAAATTACTTTCAACAATCTTATGGATAAATGAAAAAGAATTTAGGGGCTGAGCTTCGGAAAAGAAAAGAAAAACCTGTCGGGGAGCGTATCAGGACAGCAGGAAGAAGATTAATGATGAAATACTGTTTGCTCAAGGGTTTTGCAGTCAGTGGCAGTACACTGTAATAGAAAAGTTCAATTTAATAAGATAAGATTCCTTTATTAGTCCCACAAGTGAGAAATTTCATTTTAATCTGTGTGTTGACAATGATTGTAGATAAATTAATGTTTAGGTGATAATGCCCTATATAGAAGACCAACAATGAGAGAAACAATCATGACAGCACAGATCAAAGAACAAACACAGGTGTTGTCGTCCTGCAAAGTAGAGTTGAAGCTTTCTGTGAAGACAAAAGGATCTGGTTGCCTGCTCTCTGTGATATCGAGCACAGCATCACTTTGTGTGTTGCTTCTCTGTGATGGCTGCCGTCTGTTGTTGTGTTCGTGAGAGGAATTGTTCTTCTGGATCACAATAAACAGCAACAGTCCAAGACAAGCGAGGTCACCCCACTTGTTTCTTATCTCCAATAACTGGGAATCATTAGCGCTGCTTCTAAAGTGGTCTCTGAGAGACATCAGTAAATTGATGTTATCATTGTTAATGGAAAACTTACTGATCGCTCTTAAGAGGTTAGTAGTGATCTCATATGTATGTTGTCGATCATACTCTGTCCCTCGATGTTCAGATGTCTCATAATGCTGTGTGATATAGACTTGGTCTATTGTCTGTGAAGTTTGCCGTCCTACATTCTGCTCCCTGACTCTGATTACGATCCGAGCCCTGTTACCGTCCTCGTGCTCTGATTGGAGATGAGTGACATGATGTGGAAGCTGCAGCGATCCTTGTCGATGGATATTACCAAGACTGTAGTACTGATATCCCCTCGGCAGTGGGTCTAACAGCTGTTCATCGTTGCGATATCGATGTGAGCCATAATCATAACCAGTTGGGTCAAAGGTCAGACTTATGTCACCGTTTATGTCAATGTCAATTTCATTGGCAAACCAGTGGAGCAGCCGGAGGCTCTGCTCAGGCACAGACTGGCCAAAGCCTACTGACCTCAGATCAGTGATTGAGTTGAGCGCTCGTCTTACAGCTGACACAGAGCTGAAGGTCAGGAGGAGAGCCACACAGCAGCTCATCATTCTTCCAAACATCTTCATCCTGGAGAGATTTAAGAAGTCACTGTTTTTATTGTTCATGCATACTTTATATTATTAATTATATTGTGATTAATAGAATAATCATGATTAAAACAGCTTTAAATGTATTCCTAGTTTATAATTTGATAGTCATTCAGCCACACAAACACTGAAACAGGTTTTAATTGTTTGTCTCCTCTCTGGTTAAAAACATCCATTATGGGTTGGAATTGCATTTTAAAATTTTGTTTTCTTCAGTTGAAATCAAAAGTTACTTTTTTAATATTAGAGTTTACTTTTAATTAAGAGGGTGTTAAGAGAGGCTTGTTAGTGAGAAATGTTGTTTTCTCAAACAGCTTTAACTTTGTGACATAAAGAGAGAAAATCACACTAATAACTTGTATCTGTAACTTGTTGGTTGAAGCCTCCTGTCAGCTTCAGATAAATAACAGGGAAGGATCGCTCAACACTCAGTTCACAGAGGATTAATTAAACAAAGCAAACTAAATAATTCTTTA